GTCAGAGGGCAGCCAGGGGTCAAGGAGCAGCCTGCAGTCAGAGGGCAGCCAGGGGTCAAGGGGCAGCCTGCAGTCAGAGGGCAGCCAGGGGTCAAGGGGCAGCCTGCAGTCAGAGGGCAGCCAGGGGTCAGAGGGCAGCCAACGATCAGAGGGCTGGGGTGGAGTGCCTGGTGGACTGAGGACCCAGAAAGGGTCTTCATTTCTGAAGAAGGGTCCAGACCCGAAACGTCAGCCTTCCTGCTCCTCTGATGTTGCTTGGCCTGCTGTGCATCCAGCTGTACACCTTGTTATCTCAGATTCTCCAGCATCGACAGTTCCTACTATCTCTGGGGACCCAGAAAGGTTGGCCAGTGGGCTGCGGGCTGGTGCAGTCAATGTGTCAGAGATCTCAAGCTCAGCAGTGCACGGAGCGTGAGACTACGTGTGGAAAGCCCCACAGCATGGAGAAACTGTATTGTTTATCTTTTAACTTTATTTCTTTATCTTCCTAATTTATACTGTAGAGAACCGTAATGTAGAACTTTTAGCTTTTCTCTTTATTTCTCTATTTTTGTACCTAATCTATTTTAGTACCTAAGATCTGTACCAAGGTACTTTGTACCTAAGATGGTGCCTTGTGTGGTGACATTGTACACATTTCACTGTACTCCTGTACTTTGTATGTGAGTACACGCAACAATAAACCTGATTCTAGTTCTAACACGAAGCAATATATTGAAAGCTCAAAAGCAAAATACTGTAAACGTTGTAAATCTGAAATAAAAATTATGCTGGAATCATTCAGGGGGACAGGCAGTATCTGTGGAGAGTTTCAGGTCAATGACCTTTCATCAGAAACAGGAGAAATATAAATTTCTAAAAAAAAAATTGAGTCAATTGGAGTGGGGCTCTGGGGACAAGAAGAAAGAAAGGGGAGGGCAGGATAAAACAGAGTGCCCAATGGATACAGTAAGAAATCCAGATCTTAGCGAAATAATAACAAGATCATTGATTATTGGGACTGAAGTATGGGTCATTTCACAAGCTTACCTTCATGCTGCTGTCTAAGAGATTTTCAGTGGGCTTGGGACCTTGAGAGTCTAGAAAGAAACACAATAGCAAGTTATGTCTGGATCACAAAGCTGTCTGTGTGTGTGTGTGTGTGTGTGTGTGTGTGTGTTTGTAGGATCCTGTAAGATGCTGGTTGTACACTTCCATCACTGTGAATGCATTTTTCATGGAATCACCTTGGTAGTATAGCCTCCTGCCTGTTTGTTATCACACATCTAGTTAACAGGTAAGGGAACTCCCATTATGGAGACAGCAAAGTGCTGAAATCTCACTGAGTACTACTTTTAACACAATATTTAACTTGTGTAAATCCTTTTGTTGTAAACTGCCAACCAAGTATTGCTTTCCATTTTTATAGGAACTGACACGCTTATTTTCAAAATGGTGCTTTGTGGAATTTCAAGATTAATCATTTATCCTTGAACTTGGTACTTGAATCATTGGAAACAATAGTTGCTGAATGAAAGGATAAAAGGAGCACTGTATATTTTCATACATCTTACACATTTTTCATATATTTTCAACATTATTGATTTGCCAAGACAAGGAGATGAATTCTTCCAAACTTATCGCACTTCTGGATTTTTACACAGCAGGTCAGTCCCTGAGGAAATTACCATCTGGCACAGCAGGGTGGCTCAGTGGTTAGCACTGCTACCTCACAGCACCAGCAACCCAGGTTCGATTCCACCCTCGGGCAACTGTCTGTGTGGAGTTTGCACATTCTCCCTGTGTCTGCGTGGGTTTCCTCCAGGTGCTCCAGTTTCCTCCCAAAGTCCAAGGATGTGCAGGTTAGAGTAGATTGGCCAGGCTAAATTGCCCATAGTGTTCAGGGGTGTGTAGATTGGGTGGGATGTTCTGTGGGTCAGTGTGGACTTGTTGGGCTGAACAGCCTGCTCCCACACTGTAGGGATTCTATGAACGCCCT